TATAATGCTTGTATATTACAAACAATACCAAGATAGCTTTTTCCCCGCGGCGGTAGTTGAGTCGATCGTTGTCGCACTGGTGATTGCTGTTCGCCTCGCGAACGTCATCTTGTCCCGAAGTTGACAACATTAACTACGGTGTTCTGAATGCAAACATTCACAAAGGCCTGTCGTCTATAAGAGCTTGGCATTTCCACCCCTTTGTTTACTATAATTACTATCCTTAATCATTGACACTGAGAAGGTAGGCCGTGCCTCATACTTTTGTGAATGAAAAGTCACCTAGCTGGGACAAAGCCTGATAACTGCGATAAGATTTGTTTTTCGGTGTTCACCAGAGTATTGCTAAGATCCAAATATTTCTACGAAAGATATCATATATGCGCTTTCAGTTCCTTGTAGTGAAGAAATTGAACAGCTAAAAATTTCATTATCATGTATATTATTATACATATTATGCATTGTTATTATTATGTATATTTGTGTTGTCTTGGTCTATTTCTGCTACCAAGGAATTATCGCCACTTTTGTCTACTATATTTCCTGTTTAAGTCTATGTATACTTGAAACTGTATTCTATGATAATTGTTGTCTACCAGCATTGCACGTGTCATACATGTAGCAGCAAGGGAATATGTACGTAATTTGAATTTAATGCACATTGAAACATAGAAACAAAGAAATAAAGTTCCTCTAGAACTGAAGAGTTCTGCTTTACTCTGCTCGTGAAATATTGACAAGGAAACATTACGTGCGAAAAATTTAGGCATATTGATGTGATTAGGAAAAAAAGTTCTATTATTGTAAATTTTTTCATCGTTTTTGGTCTCCTCTATACTCAGAGCAGACAGCTGAGTATAGCAATAACTAGTGCTAGGCTACTTTCATACACTGTAGTACCTGCGAGTCCCACTTTGATCTCTGTTACTTGAAGTATGCTAATTTAGCAAAAGGCTTTCATGTAATTCCCTTTGAATATATTTCAAAAGACAACTGGATTTTTCCCAAAAATTTCCCCTTTTTTAGTTCCAATTATGTAAATGTTTTCAGTTATATAATAATATTTTAATATTAAAATAATAATAATTGTGACGAAGGTGATGACAAATGCATTTATGTAACTACATGTGTCGAGATTTGGAATTAAGACCGTTGGAAGAGCGCCCCTGTGTAGCCGATGAAAAAAATCTCTACTCGCAGAAACATGGGCTTCCATAATTCCAAAAACAGCATCAAGAAGAGATGACACACACAAATAATAAATCCGATTATAAATTAAAATATGAATTTTGAGGCGAGAGCGCACATGGTGCTTTTTCGGGGTGCGGGGGGGGGGGGGGGGGGGGGG